GTAGACAGGATTTAGGTTTGGGGTCGGTGGAGTTGTGACTTTCGTCGGGTGCAATTTGAATTAATTAAAATTAGCACCGTTTTGTGGGCCTTACATAAGTCCCTTGTGTGTGACGTCAGCTGATGAGATTATGTTGCCATTCGCAAAAGTTTCAATCTGATATGCAAGTAAATTTATTTTGAGCGGTCTTAAGAGTTATTCATTTTTGATAAGACTTTCAATTCAAACATTGAAGGGAATCAAAATATAATTAAAGCAGAATGTCATTGTTTGCCGTTCTTATATTTTAACTAGATAATGAGATCTTATCTTTTGATATATATGAAATAAAATCATTGATTTCTGAAAAAAACATAGGTAATGAGGCGTTTAAGGTGACAAGTTACATACGAATAGGCTTAGACCATGGACTTATGTTTAGATGGTAAGCCGTGCATCATATATACTGTGCTTGATGCAAGACGACCGGAAAATCGAAACACAAATTGAATTGCATGATGCAATTAAAAGCGCCCTAGTAAAGACATCTATACAAAGGAAGTAAAGCAATAGGATAATAACACTTCTGTCAGCGTCATCTTAACCTCTTTCATAATGGTCGTGAAACTGTAAAACAGGTTCATAAGATTGTTGAGCAAAATCTTGATATCTGGAACTCTTCTGTGGTTCAGAATCTTATTTTTTTTTATGGGATATGGGGCAGACGAGCCGACGGATCACCTGATGGTAAGTGATTACCGACGCCCATGGACACCTGCAACACCAGAGGGGCTACAAGCGTGCTGCCGGCCTTGGAGGAAAGGGTTGAGGGGTAGAGGGAAGGGAATAGGGAGGGGTTGGGCCTCCGGTACCTTCACGTCGGTTTCCTGTGAGGCCGTGGTATCACTCCGGTCGAGCCGGCCCTTTCATGCCGAATGGGCAGGCTCGACCGAATATCGAATATCGCAATTCTTTCCAAAGGCGTTCGATTGTAATGGCGATTTATGGAACTATATAACTTTTAAAGTAGCAATCGCGTTTGGAAAGAATGACAATTTGATTGGTTAAAAAACATAATAAAAATTAAGTTAAAAAAGTCGAAATTACTGTAAAGCGAAAAATGCTTGAAATCTAGAGCAATTTCAAATGAAAAAGATGAATGCAAACTGCAAGTTTTCGATGGGTTTCACTAAGTTTCTTGGTGATTCATATCATGATTCAGTGACAGTATTATTTGCAGATGACACCTCTTTACTGTTTAAAGTTGAGAGGGGTAATAATTGTTTTGACGATGTAAATTAAGCTCTCGACAATGTTCTACGGTGGTTTGATAATAATAATTTAAAGCTCAATTCAAGTAAAACGAAATGCATAAAGTTTGCATAACCTATCGACAAAGTTCCTTGGTATTACACTAGATTCCCGACTGCAATGGGATCCTCATTTTGATAGCTGTCAAGTAGGACCGAGTTCCTGCAGCTTTTTCTGTTAAGAAAATTAGACTCTTGACAAATATTGAAACGGCAAGATTGGTATATTTTAGTTATTTTTATAGTGTAATGGTATGGTATATTGTTGTGGATTCTGCGACTAGCATTCAGGATATTTTTATTCTACAAAAGAGAGCTGTCCGTGCTATATATAATTTACAGTCCTAGGGAATCATTTAGAGAAATATTTAAAGAAATAAATATTCTGACTGTGGCCTCTTAATACATCTATGAGAATATTATGTACACAAGAAACATAACGATTCCTTCACAAAAAAGTAGTGTTATAATCTTAACACAAGAAATAAAAATAAACTCTTGCCGTTCCAAGCTTCAGACTTCAAAAAACCAGAGGATCATTTCTGGGTAAATGTATTGCTATGTTCAATAAAGTTCCACAAAATGTAATTGACCTACCCATAAATAAATTTCAAATTCATGTAAAGAAGTATACTTATGAGTAAAGGCTATTATAAAGTTGATGATTATTTTAAGGACCGCAATGCATGGAGTTAATAGCCTCGCTCTGTTCTATAACGATTAATTATAGGTATGTACCAACCTATGTCCTACAGACTTTGAAACTTGTATTTATTATTGTTCAATATATGTATTATTTTGGTAATGACATGATTTATGTAAATGTCATTACTTATAAAAAGCTGGTAAGTTTCTTTCGCTGGTTCTTCTTTGTCAGCTAAAAGACGTCCTGAACAAGTGGTAGGGGAAAAAATATTTTTGGACGATTCAAAAGTGCTTGTAACAAGCTTACTTGAATAAAACATTTTCATTTCATTTCATTTCATTCATTCTTAAAGCGACTGCAATTTTAACAGTTACATAATGAATTGCGATAGATTTTAAAATTAGACAATTAGCCATGAGGGCATGAAAACAATAGCGTTAACAAATAAGGATCGATTATAAGTAACGATAAATAGATTTCATTTAATTGACGATACGTTTGTTTTGACTTCAGCAACATTGTGACCGGGTTCTATCTAAGGGGTCGTCACGTAAGCGAGGGGTCCCGTTCGATCCCAGGGGAAGTCAATTTCATTAATACTGCGGTTGTTTCTTACCTCCCCTTTACTAGAGGGTAGACGTACATTTTTAAGTATATTAACCGTAGCCTGCTGTTTTGCTGCAATGAATTAAGCCAGGAAACTTAAGACAGGATATAAAAAAGTTTTTAGCGAAAGTAAAGTACTGGTATTATACGTTTTTCTTTGGTCTATTTATAAATATACGGTTTGTGATATATAAAATGTGTCCAAACATTTATACTAATAGTAAAGAGGAAAGAGTCGACTATTTGTTTGTTTCCGAAACTACTGGATCGATTATGAAAATTAAAAAAAAAAACAAGAAGCTACATCATATGCGAGTGACATTTGTTATATTTACACGTGCGAAATCGCGGGAACAGCTAGTTTAGTATAAAAGGTCGTATAAAACAAAAATTATTGAAATGTATTTTCTAAACTATTGTGTATCTTACTATACAATTGTCAGTAAAATAATATAAACTAGTGTATTTAACTATAATCTTGGAAAGTACATCGTTTCTGCACCATAAAAGTAAGTTAAGTGTTTATTTTTACGAAAGATGCTTACAAAGATGAAGTATTGCGTCTGAAACATATTTTTCACATAAAGAAAAGAGAGAGGAGTAGGAATTTTTAGATGTAATCCTGAGAGATTACCAAAGAATAATTTCAAAGTTGAGAGGGCATTAAAGAAAATTGTTTAAGAAGTTTTTGCTGTAAAAGTGTATCCATTAGGATTGTTTTAACTTAACCACGATATGGTTACACCTGGTTACAATAATAAATAAAGTGAAATAATTCCGTTTTCGTAGGTGAATTTCATCAAAGTCGCTTTTTTCTCATTTCGGTGGATTGTAATTGTGAAAATAACTCATTATTATAATTTCTGTTATCATTAATATTTGGAGAATTCCACGAGCCCGTAAAAAAACTATAAACTTATAATGGCTAGTTGACATCTTTTTTATATCATAACTATATAAGTCCATTAATGTTTGTGAAATAATGTAGAAGTAACAGCATGTCTGCGATTGTTAGTTTCGGATATACGGTGTTATTTCTGTGAAACTGCTGCTAGTCGGCCGAAAACGCTCCCTCCAAATGCAAGATACTAACGGCCGGTTTCTGAATTGAGAAAAGCACAATATCTCAACTGATTACTCTCAATAACTTAAGTTTTTTATGTTTCATATGGCAAATAGTCCTAGTTTTATCAAATCGCTATCAACTGATTATTAAATTTTCTTAAATCTGTAATGAAAACATGTTTAAATGAAGTTTAAAATGGCTTAAGCACGGCTCGAGACGTGCTCAACTTCAGATTCTCAATACAGAAACTGAGTGTTAGTGACGTCACACAGTGCTAAAGTCGAAAAATGTGTGGGCGTCTGGGCAATATTTGTTATATCTTTGTTATTTGTATATGAAAGTTGTAACATTTTATGTATGTGATTTAATGCCTTATGTATTTTAAATTTTTTGTAGTATATTTTACGTACTTTTGTCAATTTTTCAAAGCGTAATATTCTCCAAATAAGTGACTTAAAATTTGTTACATATTTATAAGTGAAAATAGTTTCTGTATTTTCACTTATAGGACAAGCTTATGTCCTTGATATGTGTGCCAAATATTTTTGTAACAGCGAAAAGGTTATTGACTTCATAATTTCTATAATTTGGATGTCATTAAAATACAATGATTTTAAAATAAAATATTTCATTCCAGCGAGCAACTCATTAATTGTAGTGGCGCTTTAAACAGGTAATATCTTTTATCTAATAATACGAGATAGATAAAAGATATTACCTGTTTAAAATGCCACCGCAATAAATCAGTTTCATTTTATCATTTGATTTTAATGACACCCAAATTATATAAATTATTAAGTCAATAACCTTTTTCGCTTTCAAACTTCCTAAATACTATTGTTCTAAGTCACTATGTGATTTCAGGGTAATATAGAAAATTAGCTTCTCCGACAGCGCCCGCGTGGTGGTGTTTAGGATACCGTTTAGTGGGATAAAGAAGTAGCCTATACATTTATCCACGCTTAGAATTAAATTTAAATTAATTTGAATGAGGTTCATATGACACGGATATAATTACAATGTCAAATAAAATCCTATTAATCTTATAAATCTGAAAGTTTCTTTGTTTGGATGTTTGTCGGTCAATCACGCCGAAACTAATGAACAAATTTTGATGAAATTTGGTTTACAGACAGGGTATTAGCTGACTTAGATAAAAGGATACTTTTTATCCCACTAAACATTTCCCTAGGGACCACGCGGGCGAAGCCGCTGACGAAAGCTAGTAATTTATAAGTAAACAACAATCCTCTATACAAACTTCCACTCCCTTTTCATTTCTTTATTGCTGTTGTTCAGGATAAAATATATCCTTAGTCCAACGCATATGATGTAACTTCCCAAAGCTGAAAGAATTTTTCAAATAATCAAATAAATGAAACATAACTTTTTCATCGCGTTTGTATTTAGTTTTATTGACATTTCGGACAGGTTTCATGTCCACAAAAGAATAAGGTTTTGATTGTCCTATTGATTAAAAGTATAGCTAACTTTATTTATACAAAAAACCTATAAATTTTATATAGAACAATTATGCAAACCTGAACGCGGCACCGACTCGCCCCCGGCCGGCCTGTTTTCACTTAAAGATTTGTGTTATAACATTGACTGTGAAATTATTGTCCTGTTCCGTATTCATTTCTCAAGTTTTAAACGAAAAATATAGATAAGGCCGTAATATATCTTATCCTAATCTAATTACCTAATTTTTTAATTTTAATCAGTATTTTGTGAAGCGTTGATATGAGCGTATTTTATTGATAAATTTAGTAGTTATTATCGGCAAGTGAGGCATAACACACATAATGGCGAGTCGTTATTTAATCTTTAATATTTTCCTATTATATTTGATGCATTCCGTCAGTGGATTGCAAAACGGGAAAGTCAAAATTACCGTCGGAACCACAGCTGGTTGTGGTGATACAGTCGCCTTTATTCGAGATCAATTGAAGCCTACTTTTGAACTGTACGAGGAGTTCTTGGAGATCGAATATGTGCCATGGGGGAGAACGCAACGGGACGAGAACGGAGTATTCACCTTTTGCCAGTTTAATCCAAGTAACTGCTGGGCCAACCGCATGCACAGGTGCTCTCTAAACTTAATTGGAAATAATCAGACTAGACAACTCGAGTTTATGTCATGTGAGTTTTCTTCGCCTTTTCCGGGTTTCCTACAAGAAAGTTACGCCTGTGCTAGATCGGTAGGTTTGAACGTCGTCGCAGTAGATTATTGTTTGAACAATCCACATTTGGATACTTTAGATGACGAAGCACAAGCGGCTGCTGTCTTACCAGTGGAAAAAATCAATTTTATCCCATACATAATCATTAATGACGACATCAGTGTCGATGTACATGAGCAAAGTAGACAAAGACTATCCAGTGTCGTATGCTTCCTGTTAGCCGAAGATCCAACGACGGGGATAACTGCATGCCAAATCTAAACCAATGACCAATTTAGCTGTATCAAAGTTTTATCATCAACGTGAACGCTCCAATCGCCAAATTGTAAAGTTTTTATCTTAGCTGGCCTCCAAGCTTGATTTGCCGATTTTGGGATTTTGCGAGCTAAATGTCAAACTTTTGCCGCCTCGTAATCGACGAACTTGTGCAATTGGACAATCGCCGAGCGCAGATACGGCTAATGGTGGAGTAATTTTTGGTGATACGAATTGTAATGACAGCATTTGTTCCATTAACATTTTCTGAATGTATTATATAAATGTCAGTTGAATACTTGTCAGTTTTGAGGCCTTATTTGCGATATTTTTTTTGTTAACATATTTTAATCTTTGTATTAAATTCTAAAGTGTTTTCTGTTGAAACAATAAAAGTTATAATGTTTTCCTTTGGCGTTTATCAAACTCAACTCCTTATTCTGAAGGACTCTCCTCCTGTCTTATGGTGGACACAAATGGCTTTTTGAATGTTTTTCTAAACAAATATTAGTCTACTTAATAAATCTACAAATACTTAACCGTAGCAATTTCAACTAAGTTGAAGGTACAAGTAATTATAAAATAATTTTGAATCGTTTGAATATATGACTACAAATTACTTGAAACATTTGTCAAAAGGACAGTTGTCTGCTTGTTTAATTATTATCATGTATGCGAAACATTTCTGGTACCCAAAACAATTGAAATGTTTTTTAATCTAGCTATATAATATCAAAGGGTAATAGGGTAATTAATTAGAGCAACATTTTTTTAGCGACATTAAGATATTTTGTCACCATAAATAGTAATCACTATAATTTTTTAGTTTGCCTCGATAAATTATGAACTATTAAAGGTAAAAGTTAGATAGGATCACACATAATACTGTAGATATTAGAGGATAGATATAGCCCAATAGCACATCACTCGCCTCTAAAGGCAGACCAGATGATTGATCAACATCAAGACATTGCACGCTCCTGATTGTTAAAATTTGAATGGGCCCCGACTGTGGGTCGTTCTGTTCTGCATTAGAATTTATGGTTTGTTTTATGTGTGTATCGATTATAAAACTATTTCAATTGTGTAGTTATTTAGTATTACTTAACAGAATTCTTAACTACTGGCCTTTTATAAGCTAATTTGTTCATTTTTTTCTTAAAATTCGTCTTTACGCTGTTGGGTTTTTTATTTTTCTTTAAATTATTTATTTTTATTTTATACTTTTAGTTACGATTCGTTGACTTCGTTATAAGATGGTAAATTCTAGTCATTACATCGAGGGAGTTAATATCGTTTGTCAAACAACTTTAAATCGTTAAATATCCTAAACTTTTGTTTAAAATGAAAAATGATAAAAGGAACCTAAAGATGATTTTAAAATACCTATTCAACGACACCCCACTTGACATAGTACATCTTTATTTTTCATTTTGACAATATGACTGGTTGTCGGTGTGGTGAATTTTGATTACTGTCATGTCTTTGGTGACACTCGCTAGGTTAAGACGAATCGATTGACGTAAGAATCATCAAAATCGGCCAACGCTTTTGATCTCTAGAACGTCACATATAAAGATATATTTCTTTTGGTCACTCATTAAAAATCATGTTAATTTTTAGTTAGTTAAAATCATCATAGATTACAGTTTTGTGCTAGTCACCGGATGTTTACCACTTAGATGTTTATCTCTTTATATATATTTTTTTAATTATAGATATATATCTTGTTCACTCTTATCGATATTCATATGATATATTTATTATTGATATCATTGAAGCAGTACGTTTCAAAAAGCAAGTTTATCAAATATAGGATCTTCTTTTGATAATAGGCACGTGCATGTACCTACGATGTATACAGCACACTAACCTTCGAAGCAATATTTTAGGATATATCATAACTGTTGGGTTGAGTTGAGAAGCTCGATGGCGTAGTGGATAAGCGCTGCGGCCCATGATCGTTGTTGTTAATCAACTTTCGCAAGGTTCGGTCAAGGGATGAGTGACTAATATTATCTCGAGCTACTCCTTGCTTAGGAAGACATGTTAAGCTATTAGTCTCGGTGGTGTTTGCAATCGTTAATATCCCCCAATCCGCATTGGGCCAGCGTGGAGGGTGAGGCCAGCTCCTTGACCATCCGTAAGGAAGACCTGAGCCCCTGCAATGGGGATATCAAAGGATGATGATGTCATAACATAAGTACATTTTTTTTACCAACCGTACAGGAATTTGAATGAAATAAGAACTATTACTAGTTTAATATGTATATTCAGTAAGTCTGATAATAGGTTGTTATCTAACTGATAAGGGTTCACCATAAATTTCTATGGTAAAACAACATATCCTGGATCAGCTGGTACTACTATAAAATTATATGTGTTATAAAATATGCTGACAACAATAAACTTTACCGTCCTGTTATATAAAAAAGCGTAAACATTGTATTTGGTTTTAACAATAATAGAAGAGAAGACTTGAGATATGTTGACTTATTTTAGTTGGATAGTTGCTTAAGCCTGGTACTAAAGTTAATTTATACAAATAAAAGAAGTTGGAGTATCTGTTTGTAATATTAATGTACTTAACCGCTTATTATATGTTGCAAGGTGGGGAATGGTCAAAGTCAAAGTCAAATAATCTTTATTCAAATAGACTTCTTTAAAGGTACTTTTGAATCGTCCAACATTTTTTTCCCTACCACTCGTTCAGGACGTCTCTTGGCTGATAAGAAGAACGAGTAAGAAACTCACCAGCTCTAACAGGAGTAATAATAATAATAATAATAAATATTCTTTATTGCACAATAGAAAAGAGACAAATATACAAAAATCTTACGCAAATATTGTACAATAGGCGGACAGACATAGGGAGAAATGACATTCACAATCATTGGACATCATTGTAAATAGAGAGTAATGACATTCACAAAAATCATGTCGTTACCAGATTAATACATTACAAATAGAGAGAAAAAAAAAAAACTATGGTCTTAAAATGATAACATAATAATTTAATAATAATGGAAACAATATGGTATTGGTAATAGCTAAGTGGATGTTAATTTTCATGGGGTATATTATGGGGTGGTTATTTTGTTTGCACTACCGTAATCGTTTGTAAACGACCACCCTGATCACCCCACTGGTGCATTGTGCAGGACATTATTTATGTCCACACTTTTGTGGCAAGCGGGAAAATGTTCAAATATAAAAGTTGCTGTTTTTTTGTTGACCAAAGGCGAGGTATTCGATAATATAGTTTAAAGACTTTAAACTTCGGTCGGTAATAAATAATATCCTTTCTGTAATGATATCAATCATTCATTCATGATTCTGAATTTCAAATAGACGATTATGTAGGTAGACTCTGTAGAGTCGCGTTACAAACAAGAGTAATCCGTTGGATTTGCTATTGTGTATCTCAAAGGTATTGCTAACCTTTGAGATATACAATACACAAAATATACAGACTCAAGCCGAGAAGACCCGAGAACAACCGAACTCATTCCTTTATATTTCTTGTCGCTGGCGAGACTTCTCGGCGTGTGTCTGTACGGCTTTTAAAGCTTCACTTAAAGAAAAAAGTTTATACTGTCAAATTGTCACTCATACAAAGTATTTTACTTATCCTATTAAATCTGATTCATATGTTTATTTGATCAACCAATACTATATTCTTATAGTTACTATTACTTACTCGTCTTATTAAACGCTTATTTTTCAACTACGGCCGCTGAAATAATGCGTTAATAACATATATAAACTCATTTAATCTAACGATAGATTTTTTTGTGTTTTTCTACCTCACTACCAAATAATGAGAAACAAAATCGTCAATTGACATTGTATCAAACTATACTAGTTTGGTACTATAGGTTCTAAATTTATTGTTGGATAACTATAATATTCTAAATCGACAATACTATGTTGCAAAGTTATGTCAGTTCTTTATTTTTGTAGTGATGTAACAAAAAATAACACGATTGTAACAAAACATATCGTAGTATTATAATAGGTGGGTAATATGAAGTGATAAATATATCTTACTAATGATAATTTTACGCCACCAACTCAAACTAATTAGAATCTGATTAAACTTAATCATTTATCACCAAATGTTTTGTCAGATATATTTGAATACCTAGTAGATTTTTCAAATGATTATTTCTAAATAAGACGATAGCATTATTATTATTTCTTTACACGCAATCACTAATAGAGACTAGACTAACATTATTTGTTTGAACAAGTATCGAAGTAATTTTCAAATTTGAGTCCTATCCTACATTAAGAATATTTTTTTAATATTTACTCATTCAGTCTTGGTTGTTAAAAGCATACCAGAGTGGCAAGTTACGATAACGTGTTCATTGGTGAGCGCGTTAAGAATTTGTATGACGATTTTTAACGATCGCAAATATAAAAAAAATACACAAAGTGCTCTGAGCGTCAAAACTCCATGCTATCCCTTTGGAATTTCAAGGGATACCGATCATAAGGTGTTTGTGAATGTTTAAAGATATTTTTTGCAGGATAAATAGCTGGCGTACAGAGAGAACATTATATTCAGCGAGTTGGCTAGTTGAATAACGGAAAGGATGGAAATGGCTTACTTTGGGTATGGCTCTTTGTGCTCTTTCTTGTTCTATTAAAGTTGTTTTATTGCCACCCGATGATGTGATACAATACTTAATTGGGGACTGACATAAGGAAAGATATACTGATATTAGCAGGTTACTGTTTTCAACAGGATGTAGATTTTTAAAGGTTGTTTTCGCTTCATAAATAGGGAAAATAATAATCCAAGTTGTATTTAGATGATTATAGTAAAAAATTATTATTGATAAGCAATCATAGAGAATATTTACAAAGACATTAAAAAGAAAACGAATAACAAACAGAATAGATACAAAAAAGGTTTATTATCTTAAAATAAAAATAAAACTATATCAGATAACCAATTGAAGCCGCAGCAAAGGCAAAAATGAGTTTCCTGATTCTTGATGCTATTTTTTCAACGTGATGCTTCATTTTCAGATGGCAATCAATTATAACACATATGTAATGGTGGTTGTACTTTAAGCTTACCTTCTATGTATATGTTGGCAGTGGTGGGCAGTAATTTGGAATTTGCCTTCTTCGGGTTGGGTAGACAAGTTGTATGTGAAGATCATGAATTTGGTTTTATCTGTATTTATTGTTACTGCATTTGCTCTGAGCGATTGCGTTACTGAATCAAATCCTATCTGAGCTTGATTATAAATTTTATGATAAATGAAAATTGACAGAATTAAATAGGCTAGAGTAGACTCATCCCCACTACAACACCCGTTCACGAGCATGACGTATGAGACTTCGTTTGTTCGCTTAAAAATAATGTCAACGTTAATTTTCTCATATTACCACATAGTTATTAATATTTCACAGAAGTTAGGCACGCATTCACTCGGTGGATTCATTTTAGTAATATTATAAATCACAGGACTATCCCATTAAAGTTTCCACGTATAGTTCCCCTAACACATTATTCCGCCATAAACGACCTCATGAGCCAATAAAGTCGCGCCATTAAGCGATTGAAAAATGTCACAGGCCACTTTGCAACACCGATGCGCTACATTAAGCGCTGGTTTCGGTAGGTGATTTTCGTATGGGATCCGCTGAAGAGGGGTAGCAGCATTTATTAACTATAAATGTCTAATCCTATTTTGAAGAAAATTAACATTATCACCAGCTTATTAAAGCTCTTACTGCTTGGGAGGCCTCCGCTATGGATGGAATCGAATAAGGAGAATGGGCCATGACCCGCCACGACAGTCCTGTGCAGATTGATGGGTGTTATTGACTGCATATGCCGCCGGGAACAACGGCTTATCGTACCTTCCGAAACACGGAGGAGCTCGAGATAATAAATTGTTGGTTACCCATCTCATGACCGGCATTGCGTAAATTGCTTTACAATCGTATCAC